CAACTAGCTTACCTGTTCAACATGGGCTTCTGGCCAATTATTTTGTTAACATGAAATGCTTTCAAAATACATTAAACTGATTTTGAACCCCGAAAGTCTTTGGTCAAAATATCATCATATAACTATTACATTAGGAGGAAGAAAAATATTGCATATGAAAAAGCTTTAAATTTTAGGAATTTTAAAAAGCTGGGGCCCTGGTTTCTTGAAGAGTCACTGAGGTGTTAAAACGACAGGTCTGATCACACACAGGAAAGCCTCATTTAGACCAAGGCTTCTTCAATGTGGTCCGAGGTCTGGTGGCAGCATCAGCATCACTGGACAGCTTGATAGAATGCACGCTAATGTTTCAGAACCATTGATTTAGATAATAACTGATCAATTTCAAAACAGAGTATTACCCAGGCCTACAGGATGAGAATCATTGGGCACAGCAGTATGTTTTAACAAGGCCTCCAGATGATTCTTATGTGCACTAAAGTTTGTAAAGCGCTGATTTAGACCATCATTTGTCAAACTGCTGATTACAACCCATTAGTGGGTTGTAAAATCAATTTAGTGGGCAGTGACTAGCATTTTAAAAAAGTGAAATAGAATAGAAAATGGAGTGCATCTCTTGTAGCATAGGTGAGTACTGCCTCATGAAACTGGTTCTAGTTCTATGTGTGTGTATTCATGTGAAGTACAACCTGCAATTTTTGAAGAACTGGTATAATAAAGAAGCTAAAATTTTTAGATGAGGTGAGAACTGCTTGGTGGACAATAAAGCACATCGACAGCTTAATGTGGATTACTGTTGGGGAGAGTTGAGCTAGATGAGGAGCTAGGGAAGACAGCCAAGGAAAGAACACAGAGGGCCAAAGCCTTACACCTCCAGGATCCTTGTGAAGAAAGAAACAAAAAGGCCTACCCAGAGAAGACTTGGAAGGGACAGTCATGACAAGGGAGATGCCAAGGAGAATAAGAACATGATAAGGTCAGGTGTGACTTTCAAGAAAGAACCATTTTAGTAGGACTGGTGAAAATGTATGTATTCATTCATTTATTCACTGAACATTTATTGTAACTTCACAAGTGCCAGGCACTGCTTTAGGCACTGAGGGTATAGACATGAAGCCTATTCTGGAGTGCACTGTTCAGTGGCAGTTATAATAATAATAATAGAATAATCAGGACTAAGAAGGAAGTATTACAAAAGTACTGAGCAGAACACTGAACTTAGCCGGTGAGGATGGGGTTAGGAGTGAGGTGACATCTTTAGACAGAGGGTGCTTAACCAAGATGCTTATTGCATCTTAACATGATATTCTATTTTGAAGTTAATCAGTTATTACCTAAATCAATGGTTCTCAAACATTAGCGTGCATCAGAATCCCTTAGGGGGACTTGTTAAAACACAGATTACTGAGGGTTTCTGATTCAGCTGGTCTGGGGTGAGGTCTGAGAACAAGGGCGGATTATCCAATAGGCAAGGTAAGCAGGGTGCTTACCTTGCTTACCAGATCATCTGCAGGGAACAATTTCACATTTTTTCACCACACCAGAGATTCTGCTTCTAGGTATGGCCGGCATCTCTCTCCCAATCCCACAACACCTTCCTACACAAAAAAACGCTCTTTTCAAATTTACATTCCCTGACAGGGACAGATTACCCAGCGAGCAAGGTAGCCCGGGCTTACTTTGCTTATTGGGTAATCTGCCCCTGCCTGAGAATGTGCATTTCTGACAAGTTGAGACAAGTTCTGCTAGATGGTGTTTCTAGAAACACTATTTAAAACAGATAGAATTTAAGTGATCCACATGCACATACACACACGTCAGTTTTTCCTTACTCAATTTTGATAACAATAACCATCAGTAGAAGATTTTCTGATAATTTTTATTATAAAATATTCTACTAAGATTTAGCCTTGACATTTGACAGTGAGACAAATGCTCTTGTGTGTAGCAATGACATGCTATGTGCTTACCAAAATTATTTCCTTTTCTTTCTGGGTCCTTTGCAGCTAGATGAGCCCATGTGATTGAGTTCTGCTAATGTATAGTGGGCAAAAAAGGCGTGAGCTCTTCCAAACTTGGCCAAAACTTATTTTGAGATCTGCCTGTCTTCACTGGCCAGTGGAGGGCAGGGAAACTCCAAGGGTCTTCAAAGCCTAGAGGGTCCCTGAGTCACCACTTGGAAAAGAGATATGCAGGATTGCCACCCAAGTGGAATCAATATGTATTAAGACCCTGAGATTTAGTGGTTTGTTAGCACTACGTAACCTAGCCTACTCTGTGCTGTTCCTGGCATGAGTAACACAAATATGTATTTATGAACTGGATGAATAATTATTACAACTCCAATTTCCATCCCCTTATAGACAACATTCAGCCTATAAATGGCATTCTCACCATTCATTTATTCAACTAAATACTTCTGTAGAGGCTACTGTGTGCCAAGCACTGCAATGGTGAGCAAAAACACACACATTTCCTTCCCTCATGGAATTTACAGTGTGGTGAAGGATGGACACAAACCAAATAATCATTCAAACAAATGTAAAATGTAATGTTGTAATTGGTGTGAATGTTGGGAACCTGGACTATTAAGCACCTGGTTAGGAATAAATATTGAATTCTTTTAAGGTGTAATGGTACCACCTGCTAAAAACTAATTTAAAAATATAACTAAGTCAGGATGCGATGAAGCAAACATATACTGAGACATAGGGTTTTATTGCTGTCTTAGTTATCTAGTGCTGCTATAAAAGAAGTAGCACAAGTGGGTGGCTTTAACAAACAGAAATTTATTTTCTCACAGTTTAGGAGGCTAGAAGTCCGATTCTAGGGTGCCAGCTCTAGGCAAGGGCTTTATCTCTCTGTCAGCTCTGGGGGAAGGTCCTTTTCTCTTCAGTTTGTTTCCTGGTTCCTTGGCGATCTCCATGTGTCTTGGCATCTCTCTTCTATCTCTGCTCTGCTCACTTGTTTAATCTCTTTCGTATCTCAAAAGAGACTGACTCAAGATACACCCAACACTAATGCTGCCTCATTAACATAACAAAGAAAACCCATTCTCAAAAGGGATTATAACCACAAGCATAAAAACAAACAAACCTGTTGCCTTCTAGTAGATTCTGGCTCATAGCGACCCTATGGGACAGAGCAGAACTTCCCCATAGGGTTTCCAAAGAGCAGCAGTGGATTCCAACTGCTAGACTTTTGATTAGCAGCCGTAGCTCTTAACCACTGTGCCACCGGGGCTCAAAAACCACAAGCATAAAGGTTAGAATTTACAATAGCTACTTTTGGGGGACACAATTAAATCCATAACAATTGTTAAACCTTTTCATTTAATAGTCTTAACTATCTAATAGGATTTGTTCATATTACAGTGATATAAACTTTTATAAATGCATGTATAACTAGTATTAAATTGTTTAACCCATCGGTTGTTAGCTCTTCAGAGACTTGCAAAAGTCTTTTACTTTTTTTCCTTTTAACATAGTGTTTGATACTTTTCTCTATTAAGTTCTTACCATATTGGTAATAAATTTCTGCTGAGAAAGATATGTCCTTTAAAAACGGAGTTCTATACTGAAGGACTTACTCGGTAAAAGTTAAATCAGACCAAATCACTAACAACATCCTTGAATTAGAATTTGTCATTCAGAGAACCACTTTGGCCTTTTAAACTTTTTTCTACCAACCCAATAAACATTGGGTTCCGTAAGCTTGTACACATGATGAATGCATTTTAGATTTACATTGAATAGCTTTGTTTTCTTTTTACACACACACACGCACACACACACACACACACACACTGACTTCTTTGTTTAAAAGTGCCCCCTTTGAAAGATTGACATAAATATTACAGAAATGAATCACTGCAAATATGTAAAAGTATTTCTGTAATATGCACCAGAAAACACACACCACCTGCTATTATTTTCATGTAGAGGATACTTCAGGCATTTTCTAAACAGGAGAGTCAGAGTGGGTTGCCCATGGGCTATCCAGCCCATGCTCCCCCATCAAGATACCACAGCTAAGAACGGACTGAGGAGCATAAATTCCATTTCAGAGATATTATAGGATTTTAACGCTGCAGGTACCCTAGGGATTTAATACCAACATCCCTGGTAAGAAAATTGAAGTCCAAAAAGGTAAAATAATTTGCTCACTACAATTTGTTTTGTTCTTGGGCCTTATACCAGATCTACTGAGTTCCTGTGCAGCTTTCTCTCTACGACATTTTGCCGTACAGTTGAAGGCCAGGTTGGATTATCCTTAGTTCTTCCAACTCTGGGCTTTTCTTCAGGATAGAGGTGTTTTGTGCTAAAGGTCTAATTCAGATCAAGTTTGCTTCTGCCTTCTTGGCACTGCTTTTTTTTTTTGTATCATTTGCGTTGCTGAGTTTCTCAACACCAACGAGGAGGGTAACACCCATCCAAACCGAATGGCTCAGGACACAGGATATAGCCATTTACAGAGACAACCACAGCCACGAAAAGCTGAAGAGGACACATCGTCTTCTCTGGAGTCCCAATGGCCACGTGCGGACGGCGGGGCCGCCTTCTGGTTGGAGCCCCCAGGGCCTCGGTCCCTCCAATCAGCGTTGGCTCCGCGGCGGAGGAGGGGGCGCGCCCTGGAGGGGCGTGGCCAGCGACCTGTCCATCACCGAGTCCGCGGGTGGCAGCACCTACCACACCGCTGTACCTTGGCGAGGCGGAGCTGGGGCGGGAAGACTGCGGTCTGGGAAGGCGGGGAAAGGCGGGCGAGAGCCAATCCGCGGGGCCGCGCGAGGGGGCGGGGGCGGGGTACCGAGCGCGACCCAAACACACCGGTCCGGGTGCATCGGCGAGCCGCGCTTTTCCTCGCCTTCCGGTGCGAGAACTGGTGAACCTCCCCTCCTGCGCCCCCCCACCTTCGTAGCCGTTATCCCCCCGCCATCGCCCCAGCCCCGCCTTCCCGGGGAAGGCGGCCTAGTCGCCGGCGCGTTACGGGAGCGAGGCGACGGTTGCCGGGAAGCGCGCCTCGCCCCTCCTTCTCGTCCTCCCCTCACGCGCCACCCGTTTTTCCTTTCTCCGTTAATAACAGCTAGCTGGAGGAGGAGGGAAGGTGGCTCCTGCGGAGTGTGGGCGGGCGCCTCCCACTCATCCGCAAGTCGCGGTAGGAGCAGGAGGATGGCGGCGGTAGCGGCAGCCGTCCGGGAGGAGGCGGTGCCGAGGCCCGGGGCGCAGACCGCAGCGGTGGCGGCAGTGAGCGGCAGCGGTCCGTCGTGGCGCACCAGAAGCGAAACTAGTGGCAGCCGCACAGCTACCTGAGCCGTCGCCTCCCGCCGGAGTCAGAGCGGCGGCCACTGCTCCCGGAGCCGGGACTCCTTTTCTGTCTCGTCGTCTCCCGCGCCCCGTCAGGCCGCTGGACTCACCCGCCGCCTCTGAGAAAAGGGCGCCGGACGCCGACCGCCCCGCGGGGCGCCGGGCGGCGGCCCTGGACGTGCGGGGGCCTCTCTGTGCTGGCCGCGGCGCCTCGGCCCTGCCCTCTCTGTCCTGCTCTCGCTCCCGCCCTCCCGGCGCTCCGGGCGCTGCGCGCCGGCCCGGCCCGGGGCAGGGCGGACATGGGCGCCAAGCAGAGCGGCCCGGCCGCTGCTAACGGCCGCACTCGGGCGTACTCAGGCTCAGATTTACCTTCTAGCAGTAGCGGAGGGACCAATGGGACCGCGGGCGGCGGCGGCGGGGCTCGGGCCGCGGCCGTTGGGAGGTTTCCGGTTCAGGTGCCCAACACGCAGCAGCCCAGCGCTTCGGGCGGCGCCGCGGCGGCCTCAGCGGCCCCGCGCAGCCGCTCCCTCGGCGGGGCCGTGGGGACTGTGGCGTCGGGGGCCCGCGCGGCGCAGTCCTCCTTCAGCATCCCCAACAGCAGCAGCGGACCGTACGGCTCGCAGGACTCGGTGCACAGCAGCCCAGAGGACGGCGGTGGCGGCAGGGACCAGCCAGCGGGGGGGGGCCCCGGCGGGCCGCGCCTGGTGATCGGCTCCTTACCAGCTCACCTCTCGCCGCACATGTTTGGAGGTACGGCTTCTTCCCCGCGTGCCCGGCCGCCCGGCCAGGCCTCCCCACCTCCCGCGGGCCGCACGTGAGCCGCGGCCGCCGGTTATTTTTACCCTTCTCCTTTTCTCCTTCAGCAAGAACGCCTGGGCTTTGCGGTCCGATCCCGGTCCGCGCTTGGTTACCCCCTCCTGGGAAGAAAGTCTCCACTTAACGTTTGCGGCGCCACGACCAGTTAGAGACTTAATACCACCTTGTGCCCCTTGTAGCGGCTCCCCATTAGAGAAAGTGCCCCCGCGCCCCCCAAGTGAGGTGAAGGGAATTTTAAAACAGACGAAACAGCCTTGTGGTTGTGGCTTCTAGTGTAAGAAGTCAGGCGAAGACCCGTTGTTTAAATTTAGTTAATAGCTGGGGCTCGAGTGGTGAGCAGTTTTAAAAGACCAGAAGGAGTTTCAAATGAGCGTTTGAGTACGCATTTGAAAAAGGAAGAGAATATCTCCTTTGGACAGATTTTTAATAGCTGTAATCTTTAAGTCTGTGTAAATAGTCCTACTTACCACATACCTTAATTGGATGGTGTGTTAGTGTATTTTTAACCCCTGTAAGCTGCTGTTTCAGGTAGAAGTCAACGTGAGTCCTGCCCAGTTCGGACATAGCATTGAAAAAATTATAAACAGTTTCTTAAGGAGAGAAACTAAAAATTACTGCTGTGCAGCCTTGCCTCCAAGGTGCAGTAGGAAAAGTCACTTGTGAAAAATGGAAGTTATTACTATCAAAGTGATGTGTTTTTATGTAGATACGGGAAGAAGAGTGTGCTTGGCCTGAGGAAAATGAAGTTATCTCTTTGTGTTTTATTGTTATCTACTCTACTACAAAAAGATTATAGTAAATGAATCAGGACACTCCCCTTCAACCCTCCTCCCCCATTTCACTGAAAAGAAACAAATTACATCTGGCTAAGAGATGTTGACTGTATAAGCATTCCTGTATCACTGATTTATGTATCTGATAATATATAAATTCATAACTGAGCGTGAATGAACAGTGAAAAACCACCCCCTCCATTTTTCTGCCCCGTTAATCATATGTTTGTAAACATGAATTTTGAGTAGGGGGTTGGTATAGGGAATATTCAGTAATGTAATTTATCTGTTGTGATGTTCTGTAGTATTAGAATTTAGCATAAATTCAAAATGGGAATGTCATGTTTAGTGTTTTTTCGTCTTTTTAATACTGCTCTGCACGTTTGGTGTAGAACAACTCTTGACTTTAATTACCTGCCTTACTTTAATTACTTGTTTTAAAGTCCTTTTTGTCGTGTAAATAAAAGTAGTGACATTTCCTAAAATTGTGCCATCTTTTTAAAATCTTTTGTTCTTGAGAAGAACCAATATTGTTCTTACTCTGACCTGATCACAGCCAACACATTTGAAGGTGCTGTAGTCATCCAGTCAAGGAATAGAAAGACAGTTTCCTGAGAATCAGAGAGTAATGCTAGAATAAAAGATAAACTGGTTTTAAAAATATTTATTTTGTTAAAATGGAAGTTTGTACTTAGCAGTTAGATTTTCAAAAGATACTAATATTTGAAAGCTGGCTAAAGAAGTTTAGCTTTGTGACTATTCGGTTAAAAATAGGAAAAAGCTTGTCAAATTAACAGTTTTTCTTTAATATACTGATTACTTTAAAAAAAAATTGTTGCTAATTCCCTTTGACTAAGAGTCAGTATATCTATGGATTTGTTTTGTTAAATACATTCCATTCAGACCAGGGGACAAATAGTTGACACCCATGCTGCTATTAATTCATAGTGAATTAGTGAGTGAAAAAGATATAGTTGCTTAGAGTTGGGGGGATAGAGCATTTATCTCTTTTCTTATTATCTAAGTTTCTAGAGTTGTGCTCTTGAGTATAGCTTTATTGGTACTTTTGGGCTTAGGATGACTGGGGCCTAGTAGCAGGATAGTGACACTGTATGAGGAACTTCTGGCAGCCTTTCTCAGCGAGGTCTCCTGAGAAGTTGGTTTTATTGTATATAACGAATGAACTTTTTTCTCCTTTGCGTGTAGAATGGTATCAGTTGTGTATATTCTTGGGAAATATGAGAAAATAGTCAACTCAAATAATTTTCTGTGTTCTGTGGTTCATATAAGGAGCCCCAGTTGAGAAAGGCTGAAAGATCAGAGAAATTACCTGTTACCGTTATATGATGGGATCAGATCAAAGTGCCAGTACCCTAAATCCTTGTCAAGACAGGGAGATGGAATATACTTACGTGAAAACCCATCTTTCTAGTGGCATTTGTCTTAATGAGGTTTTTACTTATATTTTGACGGATGGGGTCATCAGGAAAACTTAATAGAAGCATGTTTAGTCTTGTCATCCTGTGATTTAGGGAGCTAGATGATGAGTCTTATTATTTTAAGAATTATACTTGATTATACTTTACATAGACTTAATTTTTATTGTGTGTTTCGGTATTAATGTATTCAGTTACAAATTGTATGCATGTTTAGGCATATCAAGTATATAATGAATTAACTCAGTCTGAAAATTGAGAAAAGGAATATTTTTTAATTAGTGGAAAGTTCTAGCTGCAGTATAGTAAAACTTTAATTGCTTCTTGTGTTATTGTTTCCTAATAAGAAAACATGGTACTAATAAGGCTCAAAATTACCATTCTCTTGTGGGCTGACATAATTTACAGGAAAGGAAAACCTAAGCAATATCACTTTTTTTTTTTTTTTAAAGACTCTAGCAAGTCAGAATTGTTACTAGTTCTATCTTAATGAGCTGCCAAATTCAATGAGGAGGTTTTCGGTGTTGAGTTTTACGTTTTGCTGTCTTTTGTGCATTTATCTTGACTGTGTACACTTATTCAGTTCTCTCCAGAGAACTAGAAGAGAGAGATGCCTAATCCGGATATTTCAGTTTACAGAATTTCCTAAAACTGAATTGTAGGACCCCAGAATAAAGGTTGTAGATTGTAATCCATATTGGAGTTTTTAGGTGAAGTAGATCTTGTTCAATTTGTTATTCTTTTCAAACTGGTGAGCTAATAATGATCATCACTTTTGTCTTAAAACAAGTCTTTAAGGTTACAGTCTAATATTTAAAAGCCTTGGCAATGCAAAAGAATATGGAGGTGTCTTAGGATTTATTTTATCTACATTTTTTTCACGTTATGTTGCTAATATTCATAAAAACAATTAATATGAGTGATAAAATAGCCTTAATTGATGTTATCAGGAGTGAAGGAGGTGAAATGGACTACAAAAATACACAAATAAGTGGAGATTATTTCTAGAGAAATTCATGTGGATTTCTCTTGTAATGCATCCTTGAGCTAGAAATGAAAATGTAAAATGAATTAATGTGCACAATTAACTAGTGGTACTGGATTGCTTTTGGCTGCCTCCTAACTAGCTTGAGCTTGTTTGGGTGTGGTGTGCCCATGGAATATTTCAGTAGTCTGATTGTAATTTAAGTGCCTCCTGTTACTTATGAAACATGCTTCCTTGTATTGAAGGAGTGTAGGTTTTCTTTTAAAACTGAATATGTCAAAGAATATCTGTATTTCTAGGTAGATTTATCTTAAAGACAAACGTGGGTTTTTATGTTGTTAGATTATCATCATTAATTAACCATTATTGAGTTGTTCTTAGTCATTACTTCTTAAAAGGCTCAAGTGCCAAATTGTTTAAATTTGGGATATTATAATTAGTCTCCTTCCTGTTCCCAACTGTTCTTTAATTCAGTTGAAGCCTTTTACAAGGAGTGGCAGAAGAGGAATGTCTGCTTTTTCCTAAGAAAAATGCCGCTTTTAACCATTACTCCTGGCCCCCTAAAAAATGCTATAGGAAAAACTTTAAGTTGTATGCTTTGTTATGCTAAAATGTGGTCTCTGTCTTGGAAGTTCCTGCTTTTTTTTTTTAAAGTGCTCTTGACTGTAAGGCGGAAGGTGGGCTGGAGGGAGGGGTGGTACGGATTGCAAAGTGCTTTGTTAGGTCTGAGAGCTGCCTGACCTAAGTACGCAGTACTTTGTTGTTTGTTTGCTGCCCTAGTGCCTGCAGGAGTAAGAGCTCTATTGTCTTACTAACAGATAGTGTCCCCAGCAAGTCCCCCCCCATCCCTCTCCAGTTTGATTGCTTCTCCTGGTAACCAGCACATTGGGTCTTTTTTATTTTGTGGTTACCTGTATCGTATTGGACACCAGCTGTTTTTCCATATTATTCATCTTGTGTTTGTAAGGAGAATTGCCTTAATGTTATACTTATTACATATACTGGGCTCTTACATTGGCAGACAGGTTCAGTGTACGTTGTTGTTAGCTGCTCTGGAGTTGGCCCCTGCTCATGGCGACCCCACGCACAGTGGAACTGAATGCTGCCTAGTCCTGCGCCATCTCCATGATTGATTTCAGATCAGAATGTTGTGATTGCTTTGTATAGCAAAACCAAACCTGTTGCTGTCGAGTTGATTCTGACTCATATAGCAAAATACTTCTTGAATTTTACCTAATTATGTAAATATTCGTAAGAAGTATCGTTTGCTTGACCTGTTTATGTTTTAATTTTGAGTGTATTTGATGGGTATTACCTAATGAATTCCATTTGTTCCACACTTAAATTTGTTTAGAAATTAAGGAAAACATGGCTATTTGTGTGAACACAAGTTCTGATTGTGTTAGTTTTATATGTTGTTTCACAAACCAAAAAAAAACCAGACCAGTTGCCATCGAGTCAATTCCAACTCATAGCAACCTTGTAGGACAGAGTAGAACTGCCCCATAGGGTTTCCAAGGCTGTAATCTTTACTGAAGCAGACTGCCACATCTTACTCCTATGGAGCAGCTGGTGGGTTCGAACGGATGACCTTTTCAGTTAGTAGTTGAGTGCTTAACCACTGTGCCACCAGGGCTCCTTTGTTCTTCACAAATTACTGGAAATGTGGCTGCTTAAAGCAATATGCATTTATTATCTCACAATTCCTATGAGCCAGGAGTTTTGGGCACAGCTTAGCTG